TATATGGATACAGACTTTTAGAAAATTACATTGTAATTATATGTCTTGCACTTTGTTGCCATGCAACACTAGAGAGGTGACGTAATTGTCTGGCAGTTGCTAAGCAACAGTGAGACATGATGTACTTATAAATTACGCCATCATCAGAGGTTATGGTACTGTACCAATGTTAGTACACATTTGGTACTGATTGTCTGTACTCGTAGTTCATACGTCAGTTTTCATGTCGAAACGTTTTCACTTTGTATTCATTTATTTTAAATAAGCAGTTTGTTCACTAATGTTAATACAATACCATAATCTATATATAATTAATGTAAGTGTAATAGTGTAAGATTTGAGGTTTCCACCCCTGTGACTGAGCAATGCCGTCATTTGGGATGTGGCGCCCTGTAGATATTGTGTGAGCCGACGTTTCGGAGGTACGTATCGCTTCCATCTGAGTCTACAGCCACCTGCTCACGCTGGTTCCTCACTCGCGGATTTTTCTACCCTGAAGATGGAGGCGATACGTTCCTCCGAAACGTCAGTTCACACAAGATCTAAACGGCGCACATCCCACAAGACGTTATTCTTTAAGTGTGATAGTGTTTATAGTAATGTTTATAGGTTTGTCGTTTCCATGGAAACCAAGTAGTGTCATTTAGTTACGATAGGACCAGATGATGACAGTAATGAAAATCATTGTTTCAGTCGGTATTACAGTCTACATTTCATTCAAGTATGTTATCAATTCTTATGTAGTACAGGTTTTTCTTTGGGTACGTCCGGAACATTTTAATATGATAACATTAATATTGTAAGTATGATTAGTCTTGTAACAGTCTTAAATGGATCAATTTAGTGCCTTCAGTACTTCAGCCGTTCCAGTGACTGACGCCTAAGGTAGTGCTTAAATTGATTTTATTTGGCACAACGAAATCATAACAAATATTTGTTGGAAGTGATTTACATATTCATTGTTAGGAACAATTGTCTTTGTATTCAAGATCAGTACCAAACAAATTTACAGCATTCAGAAAACTGAGTTTAATTTAGTATATCTGTGAATTATGTAGCTTGATTTGTCTGATTATTGTTTGAATCGTAAAATTTGCAACGTGAATTCCTACAGTGAAGGCAAATCCAGTGCAAAGTTCATGGATATATATATATATATAATCCAAAATAGCTATCATATAGACATTTTGTTGACTACAAATGTTTCTTGACTGTGAATTTCAAATAAAATAACAACAGGTGTCACATGCTATAAGATATCTGTTTTTGTAAGCGTCTTATTTTTCGATACTTGGCACTTGTAGGGTTAATTTCCATAAATGTTTCTTAGCACTTACTAAATATGTTGTAAATAATATAAGTACATATATTCAAGTTTATTCACAGTACAATGAAGTACAGTGTACAGCCAATTAATAATTTACTGTCAGTGAAGTCAGCGCCTACCCTTACGAGTTCTTACGCATGACAGTCACGTGATCTGCCTGACATACAATTAAATGGAAGTGTGGAACCCTATGATAGTATTCGAAATAAATAATGATACATTTTCGGTTCTCACCAACATTAAGATCTGTATTAAGAATTGCAGGGAGGTCGCTGCAATAGAATAAGATGTTTATAAGAATGTGTTACATTCTGTTACGTACAGGACTGCACGGTTTCACAGCTTGTAAAATGTTGCAAATACTTGATACTCGACACATTACAATGAAAGGTTTCACGGAAGGCACTTGAAACTTTTATGGTTACGTATAGCTCGCTCAGTATAGTGCCAATTGTACGGACAGGACGACCAAGAAATCGGGTTCAATCCCCGGTAGGGGCATGAGATTTGTGTCTTCTCCACAATGTCCAGACCTGCTCTGGAACCCACGGACTCCCCTCCCTGTATCGGACGTTTACTTAAGCACAGACACAACTTTTCTCCTTTCACTTTTTCATCGTAAATGGATTTTAATTTGACAATTATAACTGTGTGTGTGGCTCTAATATACATAATCATGTGGCAGGAGGAAATCACAGTCAATTAGTCTTACGTGAAGCATGTTCAAATGAAACCCGTTCGACAGTCCGTAGTTACTAGCAGGTACAGTAACGTGTTTCATTTGAACTTCCTTTCTATAATTATCTACATCTCAAGCCTGTTAAGCTTGTTTTAGACCGTTTTTAAGAATTGTAAAGAATAAATGTTGTATGAACGTGGAGTTTAATCAGCTGTATACACCAAAAGCTCGTAAATTAATCAGCTCTAATAAATTTAGAATTTTATTATTATCGTTGTAAACGTGTTTATTTTGTCGGATACATACCCTTTCTTTCTTCCTCTCACCATTTGAAGACGTGTATATTTCGTGTTAAACTATACTCGGGTCAGGAAAAGAATGTACACCAGTGGAGAGTGCTATAGTTTGCCTGATGCCCCTCTCGCCCTCTACTCTAACTGGAGATCTCTCCATCGCCGTCAGTAACAACCCAAGAACGCAAAGAGAGGCCGAAGGTACAGGTTGGATCGAAGGAGAACACGCGACCTAGCGCCGAGTAGGAAATTAGTATGTAAGATTTGAGGCTTTCACGGCGGTGACTATGAAGAATGCAGTCTTCTGGGATTTGGCACCGTGTATATGTGGTGTTAACCGACGTTTCGGAGGAACGTATCGCCCCCATCTTCAGGGTTGAAGAAAAAGTATAAGTAAATCTGCAAGCGACAACACCGTGAGACACGATTCACGGTGTTGTCGCTTGCAGATTTACTTATACTTTTTCTTCAACCCTGAAGATGGGGGCGATACGTTCCTCCGAAACGTCGGTTAACACCACATATACACGGTGCCAAATCCCAGAAGACTGCATTCTTCATAGTCACCGCCGTGAAAGCCTCAAATCTTACATACTAATTTCCTACTCGGCGCTAGGTCGCGTGTTCTCCTTCGATCCAACCTGTACCTTCGGCCTCTCTTTGCGTTCTTGGGTTGTTACTGACGGCGATGGAGAGATCTCCAGTTAGAGTAGAGGGCGAGAGGGGCATCAGGCAAACTAAAGCTCTCTCCACTGGTGTACATTCTTTTCCTGACCCGAGTATAGTTTAACACGAAATATACACGTCTTCAAATGGTGAGAGGAAGAAAGAAAGGGTATGTATCCGACAAAATAAACACGTTTACAACGATAATAATAAAATTCTAAATTTATTAGAGCTGATTAATTTACGAGCTTTTGGTGTATACAGCTGATTAAACTCCACGTTCATACAACATTTATTCTTTACAATTCTTAAAAACGGTCTAAAACAAGCTTAACAGGCTTGAGATGTAGATAATTATAGAAAGGAAGTTCAAATGAAACACGTTACTGTACCTGCTAGTAACTACGGACTGTCGAACGGGTTTCATTTGAACATGCTTCACGTAAGACTAATTGACTGTGATTTCCTCCTGCCACATGATTATGTATATTAGAGCCACACACACAGTTATAATTGTCAAATTAAAATCCATTTACGATGAAAAAGTGAAAGGAGTAAAGTTGTGTCTGTGCTTAAGTAAACGTCCGATACAGGGAGGGGAGTCCGTGGGTTCCAGAGCAGGTCTGGACATTGTGGAGAAGACACAAATCTCATGCCCCTACCGGGGATTGAACCCGATTTCTTGGTCGTCCTGTCCGTACAATTGGCACTATACTGAGCGAGCTATACGTAACCATAAAAGTTTCAAGTGCCTTCCGTGAAACCTTTCATTGTAATGTGTCGAGTATCAAGTATTTGCAACATTTTACAAGCTGTGAAACCGTGCAGTCCTGTACGTAACAGAATGTAACACATTCTTATAAACATCTTATTCTATTGCAGCGACCTCCCTGCAATTCTTAATACAGATCTTAATGTTGGTGAGAACCGAAAATGTATCATTATTTATTTCGAATACTATCATAGGGTTCCACACTTCCATTTAATTGTATGTCAGGCAGATCACGTGACTGTCATGCGTAAGAACTCGTAAGGGTAGGCGCTGACTTCACTGACAGTAAATTATTAATTGGCTGTACACTGTACTTCATTGTACTGTGAATAAACTTGAATATATGTACTTATATTATTTACAACATATTTAGTAAGTGCTAAGAAACATTTATGGAAATTAACCCTACAAGTGCCAAGTATCGAAAAATAAGACGCTTACAAAAACAGATATCTTATAGCATGTGACACCTGTTGTTATTTTATTTGAAATTCACAGTCAAGAAACATTTGTAGTCAACAAAATGTCTATATGATAGCTATTTTGGATTATATATATATATATATCCATGAACTTTGCACTGGATTTGCCTTCACTGTAGGAATTCACGTTGCAAATTTTACGATTCAAATAATAATCAGACAAATCAAGCTACATAATTCACAGATATACTAAATTAAACTCAGTTTTCTGAATGCTGTAAATTTGTTTGGTACTGATCTTGAATACAAAGACAATTGTTCCTAACAATGAATATGTAAATCACTTCCAACAAATATTTGTTATGATTTCGTTGTGCCAAATAAAATCAATTTAAGCACTACCTTAGGCGTCAGTCACTGGAACGGCTGAAGTACTGAAGGCACTAAATTGATCCATTTAAGACTGTTACAAGACTAATCATACTTACAATATTAATGTTATCATATTAAAATGTTCCGGACGTACCCAAAGAAAAACCTGTACTACATAAGAATTGATAACATACTTGAATGAAATGTAGACTGTAATACCGACTGAAACAATGATTTTCATTACTGTCATCATCTGGTCCTATCGTAACTAAATGACACTACTTGGTTTCCATGGAAACGACAAACCTATAAACATTACTATAAACACTATCACACTTAAAGAATAACGTCTTGTGGGATGTGCGCCGTTTAGATCTTGTGTGAACTGACGTTTCGGAGGAACGTATCGCCTCCATCTTCAGGGTAGAAAAATCCGCGAGTGAGGAACCAGCGTGAGCAGGTGGCTGTAGACTCAGATGGAAGCGATACGTACCTCCGAAACGTCGGCTCACACAATATCTACAGGGCGCCACATCCCAAATGACGGCATTGCTCAGTCACAGGGGTGGAAACCTCAAATCTTACACTATTACACTTACATTAATTATATATAGATTATGGTATTGTATTAACATTAGTGAACAAACTGCTTATTTAAAATAAATGAATACAAAGTGAAAACGTTTCGACATGAAAACTGACGTATGAACTACGAGTACAGACAATCAGTACCAAATGTGTACTAACATTGGTACAGTACCATAACCTCTGATGATGGCGTAATTTATAAGTACATCATGTCTCACTGTTGCTTAGCAACTGCCAGACAATTACGTCACCTCTCTAGTGTTGCATGGCAACAAAGTGCAAGACATATAATTACAATGTAATTTTCTAAAAGTCTGTATCCATATAACTAAATACATGAACTGAATCCTTCTTGAAAAGCCAGTAGTCTTCACCTACTCAAGGGTTTCCAAACATTTTACAGAACCCGAAGGTTCATAACCTTGTTCATAATTGTCAGCTACAGGTCTATATTTTCAGCCAGATGAATCCAATCCATAGCACCCCATCCTATTTTCTTCCAAGACGCACTTTAATATTATACTCCCAACTAGGTGGATTCTTTCTAAGGGTCAAACAAGCTTACTGACCTAGACCAGGTTGTTGAGTACCATATTTTGACGTTCCACAACAGACAACCGACGGTAGATAAACACAAGGATATCCTCTGGGTACTCTTTGTGTAGGAAGCCCTGAAAGTCCCCTAACGTACGTGTAAGTTACTGGAGCCCTTAATATGCTTCTATCCCTGACCTTCTTCCTGTCGCTCTCATGCGCCCTGCGACTGGTGTCAACGCTTGGAGAGTTTGTCGTAACGCCACTGACGCTGGGACTTCTAGAAATTTTCGTCAACGACTGGAAAACGTTCTTAAACGAAGACCTTTGACGAAGACTCGAGGACGGTGACGAGGTATTATTGTTCGTCGAGTGACCGCTACTTATGTCACTTCCGCTGCTGCTGCCAGCACTACTTCCTGTAGAATGGAGGTGGAGTAGACCGGAAGTATAACCATTGCAGCTTGCACTACGGTGAAGAAAACTTCCTTTTTTACCACCAGAAGTTTTCTTGCTTCTGTTGATCTTCCCGCCTGTTGATTCAATTGATCTGTCCTCGGAATCTGTTGATGATTGGGATACATCGTCGTCGTCGTCGTTGTCATGACGGATCCGACGTCGCCCAAGGCGTCGGCCGATGGCACGAAACAGGTTTAATGCTCTGAGATCGCGTGTTTGTGATGGGCTTAGAGGCGAGACGCTTCTTCGACTGTCGCGTGAGCTCGGACTCAGAGTAACAAGCGTCACAGATGTGACGGCAGAGCTGGAGATCTCGTCCGGCATATCTCCAGAGATTTTTGTTCTACCTCAGATGAATGTAAAATGTTTACGTACTTTTCTTTTTAACCTATCTCTTCAATTTTTACAGCAACAACACTCTGTATCAAAACGATGTAGCAAAAACCACCACCATGAAAATATTCACATTACAGTTTATTCAATGAGACTTTTAAATTCATAGTTGATAAATTATGTTTTCGTAAAAAAATGTTTGGTGTTAATGTCCTTCTCTTTCAAATTATCTGTTCTATTTTCCGGCACTTAATATTTATTTATACGAACGTGTCTCTACCGCTTTACTTAGGAAAGAATAAGCAATGCAACTGGATGTAACTCACTTTTTTTCTAGTTTATTCACGAACTTGAATATTCTTCTCACCTCTCAGGAGTGTTTTAAGAACACGTCGCCGATGAGTTTTAGCTCAGTACCGAACAGAAGCGACGCTAATACGTAACTGTCCGTCGGCCGACTAGATGCTCCAGTACAGACGTCCACTGTATATAGCATACAGACTCCCGTAACTAGACGTTTCTGGTACATGCGCAAGGGGCTTTCCAGTTTCACGTTCCCCCAAAGAACTCAATACAACACAACAAAGAACACGTGATCTTTACTGTTCGAAAGGTTCTCTGCTGTGTTACATCATTTATTTCCTTATTGAAGGTGGAAAGATATAAAGGAGATGGGAAATAAAAGGCAGGAGAGGAAGCTAAAAATTCTATTTTTGCAAATAAAACAAGAGACTCAGAAAAATCCATGAAAATGTCTTTCAGACATTGATACGCCAAGTGAGGGCACACATTTTGAAACATGTGAGAGGTATCTGTTCACACAGCATCGCGAACCAACTGACTGAGTCCAACGCAACAAACAACACGTGACGTTTTGTTTTCAAAATATATTTTTCCTAATTTTATTTGCTTTTAGAGAAAAGTAACTGGGAAACGAAGGCAAATAAAAGCGTGGAGAGTATACAAAAAAAAATCTGATTTTTGAGAGTAGAGACAATACACTGACCGCCTCTGTGGTTTCTGGCTACAGATCCAGAGGTCCGGGTTCGATTCCCAGCGCTACTAGATTTTCTGAGAAATAGTGGGTCTGCAACGGGGTCCACTCAGCCTCGTGAGGATTATTGAGGAACTATTTCAAGAAAACAGCGGCTCCGGTCTAGAAAACCGAGATTAACGGCCATGGGGATTCGTTGCACTGAACACGCGACATCTTCTATCCGCTAAAGTTGGCACTAACTTTGCCGACAAGCGGCGGTCACTCGTTCGATATAGTTCGCTTGCGGACTAAAACCACGGAGTTTCTTTGTTTGTTGAGAAAATACATGCGTGCAGAATGTGAACAGACAGAAACCTTCTTTGAGACATCGAGGCGTGATGTACAAGACATTGCGAAGCGCGCGTCACACTTGCTGTCTGTCCGTTACTGTTCAAACATGATCCTAAGTTCCAGACTCTCACACTGATGGCTCCACCGAATAAGGTAGCTCAGGAGGTGACGGATCTGATTTGTAGTCGGGAGGTGCTTGGTTCGAACTGCCATAGGCATACCGACTATGCTCATTAAGCACTATCGTCAAGGAGGATGAGATGGGCACGGCATGTAGCACGAATGCATATAGAAGGCGAGAAGGAAAAAGGCCATTAAGAAGACATACACGTAGATGAGTGGATAATATTGAAATTGATATTAAAGAGATAGGAGGGATGCTATGGATTGAATTGATCTGGCTTAGGATAGAGACCAGTGGAGGGCTCTAGTGAACATGGTAATGAACATTCGGGTTCCATAAGATATTGGGGAAGCTCTTGAGTAGCTGCACAACTGACGGCTTCTCAAGAAGGGCTCAGCTCAATGAAGTCAGATACAACTAACGAAGTCCACATACAGTTGCGTGATTCTTAAAAAGCTAACAGTTTCTCACCCACTCAAGAGCAACCCAACATTTTGTGGAACCCGAAGCCTCGCTTTCTTGTAGGATTTGAGGTCCTCACACCGGTGGTCATGAGGACTTATATCTTCTAGGATATGAGATCGTGTAGTCTGCTGAAGGTCTACAGACGTGTGGAGGGAACAATTCGCCTCCATCTTCAGGGTCGAAAACTAAGCCAAGCAAGAAACAAGCATGAATAAGGTAGCAAATGGAAACGCAGTGTTTCCTGTGAGGTAGGAACTCAGTACTAAAACCTTATTTACAAGACCCTGGGGCTTCGAAAGGAAATTATTTCATTCCAGAGAGTTTAAAATTCAATTTCAGACGCAAGCGTTAATTAATAAGCATACAACAATCTATACAAAAAAAAAGTCGTATAATATTCGACGTTAAACAAAGTTTCATGAAGTCCTCGTGATCAGAATGACATGTCGATTTCTGACGTCACGTGATTACGTCATTAGTTGTGACGGCTTAAACATCAACATACGTTCTCAGAAGACAAAAGTAATTAAACGTGCGGACGGGAAGGGGGCGTAAGGAGATGCCTCACAGATGCCGTGTGCTAACTCATCTAAATAACAAACTCGAACTGTAAGGTAAGGTAAAGTTGTCCTGTGCTTAAATAATAAGCACTACGCCATGAAGGCGTAAGGGGGAGTGGTTGTATAGATCCACACTTGTTAACCTTAGTTAGTTAGTTAGTTATTGGAGAGGGTGGGTTTCCCCATGCACTTAGACCTGTAGTGGTCCATTGTGCTTCCCTCTACGATTTCTACCAGTCTCTATATCCTACCGGTACTGGTGCTTACCATTAGTCCCGCCCAGCCAGCGAGACCGGCCCTACTAGCTGAGAGGTATCTATAATGCTTCCCCCATCTACCAGAGGTATTAGAGACTGCTGTTGGGCGGGAAACGTCCGTTAATTTGGCTCAGTGACCTCCTTTGGAGATATGAGGTTCTTTTACGTGCCGTAAAGCTACGACACGGGACCCACGGCTTAAAGTCCCTCCCGGAGGACTTGTTCCCTGAATTTTTCCGCCCTTAAAAATTCGACGGCCTCCGCCGGGTATTTGACCCCGCGTACTACGAGTCATGAGGTGGGAACGTTACCTCTAGACTACGGAGGCCGCTTGCATATCAAGGTAAGTCACATTTGTCTGAGAACATAGGTTCGATTATCTGATAGAGTGTTTGTGCTGTAGAGAATATATAATTTGCATGCAGTTTTGTATGGATGTGATACTTGGTCTTTTACAGAAGGCAAGAACATAGACTGAAGATGAAGAATGCCGTCTTCTGGGATGTGACGCCGTATAGATATTGTATTAACCAACGTTTCGGAGAA